CCTCACACTTCACACTTCACACTTCACACTGCGCTCTTCGCACTCCAAACTTAAACTTCACACTCCACACTTCACACTTCTCACTTCCCACTGCTTTCTTCACACTTCACACTTCACACCTGCTCGAAATTGTAGCTCCAAAACCGGATCTCGACGCCAGAGCGAAAAAAAGACGATTTCGAAGCACTTTTTAAAATGATTTTTAGAAGGAAAATCACTAGCGCCAAAATGGAGAAAATCTGCTGACAAATCACTGTCGCAGCCTTCATGCAGCCACTCCAATACGATTTACAAAGTCCAGCTGCAAAAGACAATAGTATTACGCATGCAGCCACAGCATGAAGCAACCTTGACGCAGCCATTACAATGCGATCTGCGGAGACTGAGTTGCAAAACACAATAGAACTGCGCGCAACGGCGTCGGAAATTGTAGCTCCAAAACCGGATCTCGACGCCAGAGCGAAAAAAAGACGCTTTTGAAGCACTTTTTAAAAGGATTTTTTCCCGAGAGCGCCTGCGAAGGGTTCTTCGTAAAAAAGCAGCCGTTATACTAGATCTTCACACCTTCACACCTGCAGATCTAGATCTTCACACCTTCACACCTGCAGATCTAGATCTTCACACCTTCACACCTGCAGATCTAGATCTTCACACCTTCACACCTGCAGATCTAGATCTTCACACCTTCACACCTGCAGATCTACATCTTCACACCTTCACATCTGCTGATCTACGTCTTCACACCTTCACACCTGCAGATCTAGATCTTCAGACCTTCACACCGTCATATCATATCTTCTACAACACCTTCACACCTTAGATCTAAATCTTCACTAATCGCCTCACATCTGCAGATCTAGATCTTCACAGCGATCTACAACACCCTCATCTCTGCCGATCTAGAGCTTCCACACGGAAGCCCTCACCAATCTGCAGATCTAGATCTTCACACTTTCACACCTGCTGATCTAGATCTTCACACCCTCACACCTGCAGATCTAGATCTTCACACCTTCACACCTGCAGATCTAGATCTTCACACCTTCACACCTGCAGATCTAGATCTTCACACCCTCACATCTGCAGATCTACATCATCACACCTTCACACCTGCAGATCTACATCATCACACCTTCACACCTGCAGATCTAGATCTTCACACCCTCACACCTGCAGATCTAGATCTTCACACCTTCACATCTGCAGATCTCCTCTCGCTCTTCTTCTATTCTCTCTTAAGGCGGGGGCGGTGCCGCCGGAGTGCCACGAAACGCAACCCTTTCGCACGAAATGGACGTTGGACGTCCAAAACCTAGGTAAAATTGCGATTTTGAAGCGTCCCGCGCAACCCTTTCGCACGAAATGGACGTTGGACGTCAAAAACTGAGGAAAAATTGCGACTTTGAAGCGTCGCGCGCAAACCTTTCGCACGAAATGGACGTTGGACGTCAAAAACTGAGGAAAAATTGCAACTTTTATTGGTCGCGCGCAACCCTTTCGCACGAAATGGACGTTGGACGTCAAAAACTGAGGAAAAATTGCGACTTTACCTTAGTCAATCGCAACCCTTTCGCACGAAATGGACGTTGGACGTCAAAAACTGAGGAAAAATTGCGACTTTACTTCGTCAATCGCAACCCTTTCGCACGAAATGGACGTTGGACGTCAAAAACTGAGGAAAAATTGCATTTTTTAAGTGTCAATCGCAACGCTTTCGTCTGTGTAAAAGTGTCTGTGTGTAAAAGCCTCTGTGTGTAAAAGCCTCTGTGTGTAAAAGTGTCTGTGTGTAAAAGCATCTGTGTGTAAAAGCGTCTGTGTGTCAAAGTGTCTGTGTGTAAAAGCGTCTGTGTGTAAAAGCCTCTGTGTGTAAAAGCGTCTGTGTGTAAAAGCGTCTGTGTTTCAAAGTGTCTGTGTGTCTGTGTGTAAAACGTCTGTGTGTAAAAGCGTCTGTGTGTAAAAGCGTCTGTGTGTAAAAGCCTCTGTGTAAAAGCCTCTGTGTAAAAGCGTCTGTGTGTGAAAGTTTTGTTTTTGTGTAAAATCTTCTGTGTGTAAAAGCTTCTGTGTGTAAAAGTGTCTGTGTGTAAAGGAGTCTGTGTGTAAAAGCTTCTGTGTGTAAAGGAGTCTGTGTGTAAAACCGTCTGTGTGTAAAAGCGTCTGTGTGTAAAGGAGTGTGTGTAAAAGCGTCTGTGTGTAAAGGAGTCTGTGTGTAAAAGCTTCTGTGTGTAAAAGCGTCTGTGTGTAAAAGCGTTTGTGTGTAAAAGTGCCGTGTGTAAAAGCGTTTGTGTTTAAAAGCTTTTGTGTGTAAAAGTGTCTGTGTGTAAAAGCGTCTGTGTGTAAAATCGTCTGTGTGTAAAAGCGTCTGTGTGTAAAAGCTTCTGTGTGTAAAAGCGTCTGTGTAAAAGCTTCTGTGTAAAAGTGTCTGTGTGTAAAATCTTCTGTGTGTAAAAGCTTCGGTGTGTGAAAGCGTCTGTGTGTAAAGGAGTCTGTGTGTAAAAGTTTCCGTGTGTAAAAGCCTCTGTGTGTAAAGGAGTCTGTGTGTGAAAGTGTCTGTGTGTAAAAGTGTCTGTGTGTAACAGTGTCTGTGTGTAAAAGCGTCTGTGTGTAAGAGTGTCTGTGTGTAAAAGCGTCTGGGTGTAAAAGCTTCTGTGTGTACAAGCTTCTGTGTGTAAAAGCGTCTGTGTGTAAAGGAGTCTCTGTGTAAAGGCTTCTGTGTGTAAAAGCCTGTGTGTGTGAAAGTGTTTGTGTGTAAAAGCGTCTGTGTGTAAGCGTCTGTGTGTAAAAGCCTCTGTGTGTGTGTAAAAGAAAAGCGTGTGTGTGTGTGTGCGTGTGTGTGTAAAAGCTTCTGTGGGTAAAAGTGTCTGTGTGTAAAAGTCTCTGTGTAAAAGCTTCTGTGTGTAAGAGCGTCTGTGTGTAAAAGTCTGTGTGTAAAAGCTTCTGTGTGTAAAAGCGTCTGTGTGTAAAGGAGTCTGTGTGTAAAAGCGTCTGTGTGTAAAGGAGTCTGTGTGTAAAAGCTTCTGTGTAAGAGCGTCTGTGTGTAAATGCTTCTGTGTGTAACAGCTTCTTTGTGTAAAAGCGTCTGTGTGTAAAGGAGTCTGTGTGAAAAAAGGAGTCTGTGTGTAACAGCTTCTTGTGTAAAGCGTCTGTGTGTAAAGGAGTCTGTGTTAAAATCGTGTGTAAAAGCGTCTGTGTAAAGCGTCTGTTGTAAAAGCTCTGTGTGTAAAAGCGTCTGTGTGTAAAAGCGTCTGTGTTCAAAGTGTCTGTGTGTAAAACCGTCTGTGTGTAAAAGCCTCTGTGTGTAAAAGCGTCTGTGTGTAAAACGTCTGTGTTTCAAAGCGTCTGTGTTAAAACCGTCTGTGTGTAAAGCGCTGTGTGTAAAAGCGTCTGTGTGTAAAACGTCTTTGTGTAAAAGCCTCTGTGTAAAGCTCTGTGTAAAAGCGTCTGTGTGCGAAAGTTTGTTTTGTGTAAAATCTTCTGTGTGTAAAACTTCGTGTTAAAGCGTCTGTGTGTAAAGTGTGTGTATGTCTGTGTGTAAGCGTCTGTGTGTAAAAGGGTCGGTGTAAAAGTGTCTGTGTGTAAAAGCGTCTGTGTGTAAAATCGTCTGTGTGTAAAAGCTCTTGTGTAAAAGCGTCTGTGTGTAAAAGTCTGTGTTAAAAGCTTCTGTGTAAGCAAGCTCTGTGTGTAAAAGCTTCTGTGTGTAAAAGCGTCTGTGTGTAAAAGCGTCTGTGTGTAAAAGCTTCTGTGTGTAAAAGCGTCTGTGTGTAAAAGCGTCTGTGTGTAAAGGAGTCTGTGTGTAAAAGCTGTGTAAAAGCTGTGTAAGAGCGTCTGTGTGTCAAAAGTTGTGTGTGTAAATGTGTCTGTGTGTAACTTTGTGCTAAAAGTGTGTAAAAGCGTTTGTGTGTAAAAGCGTCTGTGTGTAAAAGTCTCTGTGTAAGCGTCTGTGTGTAAAAGCCTCTGTGTGTGAAAGTGTGTGTGTGTACAAGAAAAGCGTGTGTGTGTGTATGTGTGTGTGGGTGTAAAAGCTTCTGTGTGTAAAAGTCTCTGTTTAAGCGTCTGTGTGTAAAAGCCTCTGTGTGTGAAAGTGTGTGTGTAAAAGCTGTCTTTTGTGTGTAAAAGCTTCTGTGGGTAAAAGTGTCTGTGTGTAAAAGTGTCTGTGTGTAAAAGCGTCTGTGTGTAAAAGCCTGTGT